GCGCCTCCCTCCCTCTCTCCGCCGGCCGCTTCCCGCTCAGAGAGCGACGGCCCCCTCGGGGGGTCCCCCAGCCCCATGCCTCTGGTCAGGCATGCCCTGAACGGGCACCCCAAAACGGCTGCGGGTGCCCAGCACTTCTTTGAGGATGCTGGGGGCAATTCCCACCACTGCCAAGTATCTCCTCAGGACTTAGCCCCCTAAGAAAAGCTGGGGTGATGCAGCTACAGGAGACCCACTGACTTCTGTGACAGAAATACAATTACCCCATACAACTTTGTCCTGTCTATCAAACCTGAGATCTAAGGTCCCAGCAAAAGGTCATGCTCCAGGTTCTCCCACAGTTTTATTTCATCATGCTATTTGGTAAGTCCAACTCAGGCCACGTTTGGGAGCTTCTGGGAAAAATAAAAGAAAATAAGTGACCAGCCAATAACTTTTTGCTTGCTTGTTTGTTGTTGCTCTTAACGTAAACGGTGCAACCTGGATGAACAGAAACGATTACAGCCACCACGTGGGAAATGCGTGGTAGCACAGAGCTTGATGGCTGCTGTGCCTGTATTTTCACCTCCAAGTCCTCAGTTTTCCTCAAGGTTAGTTTCACCTTGCTGGAACCCAAGCATCATTTATTTTTTTAGGCTTCTCAGGGCCATCAAAGTAGAGTTTGCTTGTTCTGGGTTTTGCATTCTTGCATATTTGTTTTCCTCCTGTTCCTCAGGCCACAATCAGCCTCCTTATGTAATGACTTGTGTTATATAAACTCCTTTCTTCAAGGAACAGTCATTAACCTACTACTGGGTATTGAAAATACCAAAATACTGTCACACAATTAAAATCACTAAATGGTGTCCTCAAATTAGAGCACAGATTGCATTGCAGATTTTTTATTTTTTATTTTTTTAAATTAAACCACACACATGAAATTTGACAAGCCAGGCACTTCATGCAAAAGAGCAGCAGGGCTGGGAAGGTGTCTCTCACCACAATCCTGCCCAATCCATCAGCTTTCCCTCCTCACCAACCCTCTGCCCTGAGCTGCTTTCACTTCTTACTGAGCTAGGAGGTGGTTCCTACCATCTGTATGCAGACCTCAGGAAAAGTAATGCAGAGATAATGCAGCTGATTACTCTGCTAGTTGTAGGAAACATACGCCTTTTTAAAGTAACAGCCAACGAAAATCACAGGAGAGAACACAATTTGAAGACAAGTCTCAAGGATTTTTGTGTAAGCAAAGCTTTGCCTGGCCATCAGCCAGTGCTCCTCACCTCCCATCCATCCCCACAAACTGGGCTGACCCAGCTCTCAGCTGGGCTTGAGGCACTAAGGAAAGATTTTGTCATTGGCACAGGTATAAGCCAGGTTTCTCAGCACAGCTCTGGAGGAACCATCTTCCCTCATTGTCCTTTTGGAGCACAGGTCCTGGCTGATGGGGACTGCCAACATCCCTGTTCTGATCATCTTGTTCTGTGTCCACTGCAGCCCTGGTTGCACCCAGTGCCCTTTACCTCCCACCTTCAGCTCTGGGGCAGAACAGCTGCCTGATGGTCAACAAACTTCAGCCTAATCCCAGGCAAAACAGTGATAACGCACAAGGTTAGTGCAAGGGTCCTTTCTTGCACCCACTGACACTGCCCACAGTAGAGATTCACTAAATCTGAAAGGCTCGCAGAGCTGCAAATGCGGCTAACAGCCGTGAAATTATCACAGTCTCTCTCAAACATGACTAGGACCCCATAAAATTCTTGTATAAACTGAGCTTCATTATGGATTTCAAAGCAAATTAAGCTTATGGAGGCAATTTAACTATATAAATGCACACACACATTTTTCACTAACCTGTGAGTTAAATGAGAAGTAATGTGTCAGAGTGAAAACAGCTCTAGCTGAAGAACAAGTTTTGCTCACAGTAATCTGAAATAGTTTGAATTGGACTGTGGATCATTCAGAATACTTGTCTGTCCATCCAGATCAGCCTTCATCCATCCATCTACACACTGGTAAATAAACAAATGACAAATTACCAGCTCCCAGTGTTGCTTTTGGTTAGGGACATTATGTTTAGGATGGAAAGAACAATTCTGTAACATCCTGTATACTATATCATGATTTTAGAGCAAGGCTTCTCATTTCAGTTGAAGAGATGCAGTGAACTGAAGTTTGACTAATGAATTCTTATTCAGCACTACAGGAAACAGAATTCTCTGCCAATTATGAACACGAAAAGCATTATCTTTATGTAATAAAAAGGACACTTCTGTAAATCTCCACATACGCACAAAACATGGGTTAAAACATCCTGTTTGGGTTTTTACTGCCTTTCTGTAAAATAACAAAGAGCGCTGTTTAGAATGAATTAAGTTGAAAGTGGAAAACATTTTCAAACGCTCTCCAAGTCTCACCTTGCCACAGAGTAGACTTCAGACTGATATTGTATAGAGAAGGAAAACTCTGCTTAAAATACTCAGTACTGTGCTTGCTTGAACTGTCTTTTTAAATAGATCAACTGAAGCAGTTCACCTTCTTCCTTTGGCTGTAAATATCCCCATGGTAACAAGCGATGGTATCAGACAGACAAATGAGCAGAAGCAGAGGAGGCTGAATGAAATCCTTCAAATACAGAGTCTCCAGAAACAAAATGGGACAGGACAAGACAATCAGAAAACAGACTCTGCAAACCTTATGACAACTGCTGCTTGAACTCCCCATCCCCTAATTGTTCTGGTATGTTCATTCATTCTTCACAACATTTTTGCTTTAAGTATTTTTAACAGACAAAAAAACCCCAGCACAGGTAATTCAGGGATATTAAACATTCCTGGGACCCAAGTATGATGCATTGACCCATTTGGACACTGTCCAGGACACAGATTGAGCTGGCAGAGGTCTACGTTTTCCCACAAGGCAGTTGAAACCACAGCCAACCCCCAGATCCAAGTAGAGAGAGGGGCCTGACTCAACAGACTTCAAGATTTGCAACTGCAAAGTATTTTCAGATATGAACTTACAGTTTCGAGGCGTGGAGCAGATGCCTTTTAATATACACGAGCGTGTTTCCTGAAAGAGGTTAAGTAGCATTGCCATTTGCCTATTACATACACAGCCAAAGTTGTCTGCACAGATGGGTAACGTTGCCCTAAATTGAGAGAAAGTACTTAGCAGTAACTTCCTGCATGTGCAAAATGATTAAAGTTAAGGAAAACCAGTGCCCCAATTCATACAGAGAAAGCAGTTCACTGCAGTTCAACACAGGATCAAAAATCCTTATGAGCTGCCCAAATACACAGCCTCTCTGAACAAGGGACACAGCTCAGGTCTTTGGACTCCTATCAGGATCCTCTTGCTGCCACTACCCCCTCCAAGACACTTTGGATAAATGAGTAATTCTGAAATAAATAACAATCCACTTGTGCTACTTCAGATACTTTGTGGTTTACCTCATAGAGCACAGTTGCACTTCCTTGGCTTCTATTTTGAAAACAGACAAACTTACAGGTTTTTCATTTTTATTGGATGCTTCCAACTTTATGTCTAATAATATACAGATAATTGTTTTTCATTGTTCCATTCATATCCTCACATAGTTCAGCCATTCTGTCACATTAAAATAAAAAAAAAAGCACAACTGAAATAAAATAAATTTGTAAGCTGGAAAAATACATTATAAACTTATATTCAAGAAACATTCTCTTTATAATTAAAGACCTACTTGTAATAATTAAAGTAGGATTTAAAGGAAATCTTGATTCTCATTTTTAAATAGGTGGCCTTTGTGTATACTTTTAATCATCTCATATGTACAACCCCAACCAGTATCTCTGCCTACCTGTGACAGAATACCTGAAACAAAACAAAACGACACTGAAAAGGTGTTTTTAAACAACAACAACAAAAAATTCAATAGTCATTTTCCAGGAAAATACAGTATAATCAGAACTTTAAACACATGCTTTCCTCATCTGTATTAAGGCCTAAGAGACAGATGTGCTTTAATAAAAGCAGACAGTATGAAGAAAAGTCCTTCCACTTTTCTCTTCAAATTCCTGTAACAGCTCATCTATTTCATTTTCCATGTCTTCTGTGTGCTGTATCTAGAAGAGGGAAAAAAAAATACTAAGCATCTGGACTCTCCAAGGATATGATGTAGTTTAGAAAACTGTAAGAATGCAAAGCTCTTGCTTTACTGTAAGATCTAAACCAACAGGCTGTACCAAATAGTGCAGCACTGGGTATAGTGCTTTATTGAGATTGCCAGCATTCCCAAGTTGTACATATATTCTGCATCATGTTTATCTGCGTATCCTTCCTTCCCCAATCCACTGAACTGGCACTTAACTAGTACTTTGTTGAGCAGGCAACATCCATCCTCACTAGGTAACAAATGGAAGCTTCAGAATAGCTTCAAGCACACTGAACAGATGGCTAAAATTTCAAGTCCTTGAACCCTCACAGGCTTCTTGAATCTGGAAAGGATTTAAGACCAGAATAGATCACACAGGCTGCAGGAAAAAGAAGCCTGTTGCCACACCGGCACAGGTGCACTCATCAAGTTGCATACTGCAAAAGGAGACAGATCCTTCCTCTGTCCTCTTGACAGTTACATCAACTGTTCTGAGTGCAGCTTGTTTCAGTCTTACTTCAAGGGTTAGGGCCCCTGAATATGGATGACAGAATGCACCAGTTTTTTCTTCCATATCCACATTCCATGCAACAGTGTGGTACTATGAAATACACCTACATGGGATGTTTCTGAGCTGTATCATGATTCAGAATGCAACTCTGACATTTAAATCCCACATATTACAGCTACCTTTGAAATGGACGTTTTTGCCATAAACAGGGTTTTGAGTATGGGCTCAACATGTGTAATGGTTGTGTGCAGTGCTTTGCAATACTGCTTTTCACGTAAGCTACTGATGCATTGGTTTTGATCTCTACTTACACACTGGCAGAGCTCACAGATAAGGAAAGCACCCAGAGTTGCCTCTTCGTGGTTATCCTGAATGTCCACATTGATCACGTGTACTGGCTGACACGTCTCCTGCTCTCTGGAATTTAAATCTATTTGAAAACAAGACACACGTAACAGCGATGCTTTGGGTGGAATGGTATGAATTTTCATGAGATTTTAAAAAATACATAGACATTGTCTACCTCTGCCTTCTCCAAACTTGTTTTTAGAATTTTTTTTATATACTATTGGCATAAACATTAGTCCCTCTTATTTCAAAAAGATGGATTCTGGAAACAAAAGAATTCAGTTTTGTGGAAAGGTCTTGACAGTTTATTTGCCCTGGTCAAAAAAAGTTACTGCTCACCTGACTTGGACAGTCTTTAAAGACAAAGACTGATTCTCAAAAGTGATTTTGGGTTTCCTCACCTGGGGAGTTTCAATTGCTCATTTTTCAAAAAAGCACTGTACATACAACACTGAAAATTAAACTGCAAGGTGAACTCCTAGAAGTTAAGCACTGATAGTCACATTAGACACCTCTAGCTTTATTGTGTTCTGCTTATTAACAAGGAGTGAAGGAGGAAAAAGAAAACATTCTTTTCCTACTCACCCACCCATGTATTATTCTCATGCCTCTCAAACACAACCTTCCTATTGTACACAGTGTTTTTAAGCTACAACTTATTATTTCCTAACCCTCTCATTCTGCAGCTTCAGTTTGACAAACCTGTTAAGCCCTCAATTTTAAAATTTCAGCTTTCACATCTAGAGTCTTTGAGTGCGCTGGTAGCGCTCAAACCTTCCTCCTTTCATTGGTCAATTCTGAAGGACATTACCATGAAGTCAGAGAGATGCACAACTGGAAAATTAGCAAGGCGTTGTTCCTCACCTCCCTTCCTCAGGATACTCATCTAAAACGTTAAAGTGAAAGCTGCTTTCTATGTAGACGTGCTGAATGTGCTGAAGACCCATTCAAGTGCCAGGGCAGCTGCTTTCAGAACTTACTAATGCATTTCAAACACTTCACTTATGCAGGCTGAGCAATTGGGCTTCTGAACGTTTAAGTCGAAATGTATGGTGCTCTGTGTTGCTTGTGACATGACCACTCAGGACTGAAAAGGCAACAGCCTTTCAAATCATGTGTATGATACTGCTGCAGTTGGCCAGTCTTTCAATGCAAAGGAAACACCTTAAACTTCACTTAAGCCTGTATCCAGCACTCCCAGAGGCAGAGTTCTTAGCCCTGGAGCTAAATCTCATGCCTTTCAGTGAGCTCACACCAAGCTTGCTGCATTGGGTACAAGCAGAACCCAATCCCCGGCTGAGATTCTTCAGGCTTATCTCACTGACTCATTTCAGGGCAAAGCCATAGCATATTTGCAGAGTGTTAACCACACTCAGGAACAGTGTCTCCACCTGTACAGGAGGTAGTTATTGTGGATAAATCGCTTGGTAGGTCACAGGAAGTCTTCTGCAGAGAAGGAAAGGGAAGTTGCACAAGCTTAGACTTTGTTTCTCCATCAACCCAGGGTGAAAAAACAGCCATCACATACTAGTTTTCTAGATCCATGAGCATTTTCAAACCAAACAGGTATTTGAGTTTCTCCAAATGCCTACATAAATGGACTACGAGCTCTTGTCCCTGCTGGTGTTCCCGGAGCAGTAGTCAGAGGAGACAGAGACGTTTCCAGATTTGTGAAGGGCTTCAGGGGGGAGGGAAAAAAGCACTCAAAATTAACTTGGTTTATCAGTTCAAGGTCCTTACCTTCTACTACTTGATCATAGACTCTTTCTTCACACGTTAGGATCAAATCAAAAACATCTTTGCAGTTCTGGAATCTTTCTGGTCGTGGCTTGATTCTCTTATTTCTGTCCAACATGTGTAAAATCCCATTCTGTGTGTATCTGAAGTTGCTTGAGTTAAGTACCTTTACTTTTTAAGAAAAGTCATGTTTTTGAGCAAATGACCAGTACAAGTTAAATTATTACAGTATCATTAAAGACTCCTTTTGTTTACAAATATAAAGATCAGTGACCATTAAATAGATTCCTAAGGTGGCAGCATGATCCCCACTGGGGATCATACAGCTTCTGGTCTTCAGAGACCTGTCACTGTCATCAGTACAATGGCCGAGACAGCTTCAAAAGGCCCTCACATAAGAGCAGAGTTCCTCAGAAGAACTTTTCTTGGGCAACTATTTTTATATCCATAATGCTTGGAACACACAGACTTAGCTATTTGCGTGAGCACGATGTCCTACATTCACTTAAGTCACTGCCCCTCACTCCAGGGGCCCCTATCTTTAAAGTCAATTATGTGGTGTTTCTAGTGTCAACTGCACATCTGCATGAAGTCCTACTCAGGCCTCAGCTTTACACAACTTCCAAAGAAAATTAAATCAATCACAGAAGCATCATCCCTTAAAAATATCTCAAGATGTATAAATGGGAATGAAGAAAAACACTGACTTTATGCCTGTCAGAACTTCAGTCACTGTGTGAAAGGAATCTGTTATGCTGCTTCGTAGCTATATTTATTCTGGTACTGTAACCCTGAGGAACAAATTTACATCCTGTATCCCCCTTTCGGGCAGGATTCACTGATCTCATCATCTTCTCAACCTCCTGGGACACGCAGTTTCATTAGGAGCCACCAGGGTTGACTGTCACCCAAATCTGCTCACTTGACAAAAACCAAACTCCCTCTAAAGGCAAAATTTTATGGGTAAATTAGGAATACCAGGAAAGGTTTGAATGAAGAAAGCCTGGAAAATGATGCATTTCTTCTTTGCTTTGAAGCAGCTGTATTTTTAGCCATCCAAGTACGTATTTTTAAAGGAAAATAGCAGTAAGGATAACAGTCTATAATTTCTTGAGATAACAGAAGGATTCCGAGCAAAAAAAAAATAATCCACCATTAGTAGCAAATATGTAAGAGTTCATCTTGGCTTTTCTTTGTTGAAAAGGTCACACACATACCTAGCAGGTATCTAAATTCTTCTCAGAGAACAGTCCTAATCTTTTGTAACAAAAGACCAGCAACTTTCACTTTGCCTTTGTGCAGATGCCCTCTGGTACCTCAAATTCTACTGCCCTAGGTTGCCAGGCCTACACCTGCTTATCTATATGCTTCAAAGTGTTCTTGAATAGTTTTAAAGCAAACGACCTCCAAAGCTTTTAAGTCTTTCAAACGTTTAATAAAATTAAACTCATCTTTCTACCTGTAAGAGTCTACATTATATGGAAAAGATGTTCAGTTCTCTTACGTGTCTGCATCACCACGCTAACTACTTGACTACAGAAAATTTCAATTTGAATCGCAAACTGAATGCTACGTTGTTTATCACAAATATATATTGCCAATTCTCTCTCAGCCAACTGATTTTACTGTATTTCTTTTTTTCAGGTCACCCCAAAGCTTTTTACCACTCTTCTTTCCCAAAAGATTTCTCCCTATGTAAAGAAAGAACTGTCCTTTATAGCCCAAAGTTATCTCACAAGCAGCTCTTGTACACCAGCACCCACTGCTTCCTCACAGCAGCCCTGTGAGCTCTCCTTAGGTTTGTCATGCTTGGAAAAAATCCACTTCAATGGAGCCATTTCAGACCTGTGGTTATTTGCAAAGCATGAAAATGACTGCAACATCCATTTTCAAAATACCTGTAAACATCTGGCTGTGTTGCTTTGTTCCGTTTGAAGGTGAGCCCCTTCGAGGCTCAGCAGTCCCCATTTCTACATCAAGCAGTTCAAGGGAAAAAATCCACAACATCCCACACACTTTTTTGGGTTCTTTTTTTTCCCTTTCTAGGATAAAATGTTGCTGGCATCTGTCCCCTAGCTTTCCTGCCTGAGCTTGGAGACAGAATTATGCGTATTGAAGAAAACCCACACAGTCAAGCTTTTTGCTTCACACAGTCAAGCTTTCTGCTGCCAACTTACAGCTATTTTTTTTTAACAAGGGTCCATCTGCCTATAAAAGGAGATTGAAATAAGCAGTTCAGATTCATGACACTTTCATATTTGGTTGTCTGAAATCTTTTTCACCTGGAAAAAACCAGCATACCATCCTTTCAGCAAGCAGGGGGATGTGATCTGCATGATTATTTTCAATGCATAGTCATAACCCAGCTTCTTTCTCTTCATAAGCTCAGGCGAATGCAAAGATATTACAACTTATTAATGGTTTCCACTGTACTGCCAGATGTGGAGTCATTTAAGTCGGACTGCTTTCCTTCCAACAGATTTCTAACTCCATGCTCCCTCCCTTACGCACCTCTGCTCTTTCTTTTTAGCAGTCACTTCATCAGAAGGTACTCACAAAATTTTCACCTGGTTCTCAGTGCTGTTATGCTCTCTGGTCATAGCAGCTGCCTTAACACCACCATCCTTAGAAAGTCAACAAAACACACGTACATTTATCTACAAGCCTTCTTCACCCACTGCAAACTATTGGTAGAGTAAATCCATCACAATTTTACAGTGAGTCCAATTCAGATATCACCTTTATTGGAAGAACTATGCTAAACAGATCCACAATATAATAAAATTGATGCACGGCAACTCAGTAAGAGAAAGACTTGATATGAAAAGGAGATATTGCAATACAAGTTGAGTTTTTCCAATAGGCACAGCATTGTTGCTCATTCTTATGGAAATAGCTATACCCAGCTATTTCTATTGTTACTGACAGTGCATTCTCCTCATTTACTTAAGGATACCCCATGGTACTGTACTGATGAAAATATACATGTATTTTAAAAAATAGTAAGAGTTGTGCATGCGTGTATTTAGATTAAACCCCTAAAATTTCCATAGCTTCTGCTACCCAAATTTAAAATTCCTGTCACAGACACTAGGAATGCCTTTTACCATCCACTCGCTAGATCTCTGTCCAACACTCGTGGCCAACCATCCTTTACCCTCTAATCAGTTTATCAGTAATTTGTTCACTGACAGGACCCAGAAAATACTTTTGGCTATGAGCACTGGAAGATGCACACAGCCAAGACAGAACAGTCTCTTCCCTCCTCCTTCAGCACAGCCCAGCCAGCAGCGACTGTACTTAACAGAGCACAAAGGGCTGTCATGTTTTGTTCAGAAATCCAGATCATCGACAAAGCAAGAACCAGCAGATTTTACCAACTGCCTCAACATCAACAAGTGATACTGATGCTTTCTCTCTGTTCTCTCTCGCACTCAGTGCTTGCTCTTGCAGATGTCCTTTCATGCAAGTGTTTGCTTTCAACTGGGCACTTCAAACTTCAAAACCTCTGGGCAATAAAAATAAAAATTTTCCCTACCCTAGAATGCCTGTGAACAATACATTCATTCCTTTGTTTAGCCATATTCAAGAACTGCAGTTATTCCAAGTTCTATTTCAGAAGTCAGCTTTTTAGACAATTAAAGATGGTCCTTAGTACAACTTGTAAATCTGTCTACGAAGAATTCAAGGGAGTCTGGGCATTCTCTTCTTCACACCAAACAGCAGACTCTGGTAGGAAAGGGACATGGAGTTTCTCTAGTACCTTTTGTACCTTTTTTTTTTTCTTAATAGCTTCTGGATAAATATGGCATATTCCCTAAAGAACTACCCATTGAGACTAATTCCCCCAATACATCAATATTAAAGTGGACAGCCAGCACATGAAAATGTACTAAATAATCGGCACTAAAACAACAGCCAAATGCATCAGATTTTACTTTCATTAACAAGAATTCTGCCCCCTTCCCCACCAATATGAAGTGCCATCTGTGTGTCAAACCTAACCCAGCCTTAGGCCTTCTATCACTTCCAGACAGCAAGGTTTTATGTTGTATACACTTCTCAAGTCCAAGTGCAAGAGGACAGCCAGAAGGAAGCAAGCTCAGAAACAGAAGATTACAATAAAGTACTGGCTGCAATTTGACCATTTATCATCACCAAACAAGCTTAGAGAAAATTATGTAAGAAAACCAAGTTTTATTTGCATTAAATAAAAACAGATACTCTTGTTAAGGCACAAAGCACGTGGCAAGATACAAGGTACAGAAAGCAACTAGTCTGCACAGAAATTATGGATTGTGTTCAGAGAACCTGTACTTGAGGTTGACAAGCAACAGATTAGCAAAGAAAAACAAAACAGGAGGCTTTGATAAAACCCAAGATCAGACAGTTGAAGGTTGAAAGGGGTACGCTGCACAACAGTAGACACGCTTGAATCTGTCAAGAGTACAGGATAACTGCTCCTTTTCCCAGAGCAGCAG